TGTCATGTCGGTAGGCTTTTTGATGGGCATCTGCCCAACACCGTCCAGCAAATCCATGTTCTGGCGAATGTTTCCGAAGAAGGGATTGGCGGCCGACTTTTCGGCTGGCATGGCACAGCCTCCAGCCACAGGCAGGGTGTCTTTGCCCGGGGCTGTAATGGACAGTGGTTGTGACGATGCTCCGTTTCCCGATTGAACCGGGCCACTGTCAACCAATTCCGGCACCAGTTTGTGGAATTTCAAAAAGCCACCCTTGACAACCAGGCCGGTGCCGGTCCAGCCTTCCGATGTAAATTTCTTGAGCACGTTTAAAGGGGTAACTGCCTCCTTCGGCAAGGAAGAATTGGCATCATACACTATTATATATGCACATTTCGGCCAGCGCGCGAACGTCTCCTGGTCTCGCGTCGATGCAAACGTCTCAGCGAGTCTTTGGACATTATATGCGGGCCGCTTCAAGAGTGTCGTGGGGATACATAGGTTTAGAGCGCCTCTAATCCTCGCCGCAGTGTACTGCTGATATACTCTTAGATCCAGCACCAAAACTTGGTCGAATTGGTTTTTGATAATCTCGGCTATCTGGATCGGGGAGACGATAGGAGGAACGTCTTTTTCTCCCGAAGATGGTAAGGTGTCCGAGCGATGAGAATTTGTCGAAGCGCTGAGGGGGGAGGTATGGATTCTATTATCGGGTAAGGAGAGTCGGGCATGTTGGTGGTCGGCAACAGTATGGTGGGAATTGATGGGTCCGGGGGATTGTCGTCTCGGTATGTCAAAGAAGGATACATCATCCATTTGATTCCCCTGCTGCTCCTGCGATGCCGATCCTCCATTTGTCGATTTTGAGCTTTTGTCTATCGAAGGCCTTTTAGCATGGGGAGAAGCGGGTGAGTCGAGGCGGGAAGAAGTACTGGTGGAGTTGTTCCTGGACTGGGATGGTCTAAAAGCTGTATTCAAAGCAAATCTGTGGTTATGTTCCGACTGTCTCCTAAACGCCTCAAACTCTGGGTTGGACTCGAGCGGGATATGACGGGGCGTTGAGACATTGTTCGGTACGGCCGAGTTGGGGAAAACCCAATTTTGGCGAGCATGTGCACCCGGGTTGGAGTCGGGAGGGATGGTGTCATCGCTGCCCACGACGAAACCAAAGTAACTGGGACTCGGACTTTTGCCTTCTTTGGACTGTTGAGGAGATCGGACAGCATTTGGAGATAGATGAGGCGGCATGGATTGACCGACCGAGGCAACCACGGGCTGAGTGCGTGGGGTGGTCGAGGGGCGGGAGGAGCGAGAGTGGGAGTGGGCGTGGGAATGAGGGTGAGATTTAGGATGTGAATGCGATTGCGATTGCGAGTGCGAGTGCGAGTGCGAGTGAGAATGAGAAGGAGATTTGAGGGAAGCCGTCGCAGTGGCGGACATGGTGACGTTGGCCAAATGGCCTGGAACAATGGGTGAGGTCGGGGTGATGTGGTGGATGGTCATCAAGGTCGTGCCCGTGAGTCGACGGCGGGAGATCAAAGGCCTCCACAGGAGGCGAGGAAAGGCAGGGTAGAAAAGAAGCCGGAGTAGAAGGAAAGGTCGAGGGAGACGAGATAGGGATATGAAGCGCCGCGATGCGAGGGTGAAGGTGTGGATTTGGTGGATTAGAAGGTCAGGCGCAGGTAGGATGAGTGCGGGAGTCAGAGGCGTGTGTGTGTGTATCTGAGAAGGTCGACCAAGCAGATCTGCCCCCAACGATCTACGTCATTGTGGTCTGGACTGTGCACGCGACAAGGCGGACAGCGAGGTGGAATGTGGAAACATTGTCCGCTAGGGCAACAACGAGATAGAATATATTGTTGTTCTCAGCTGAGGGATTGAATCACTGATTCAACGGAAGTTTAAAGTTGGCGAGAGGAGAGCGGCGAGAGGCGAAGATTAGAGGTGAGAGAATGGGCCGGGCTGAGGATTGAGGGGGGGGGATGCGCGTTAGTAAAAGAGCCTCCCGAATCGTCAGGGGGAGCAGCTCCTGTACAGATTACAAAGGGCCTAGCAACATCTGTAGGGGGGAACACAAGCATCGAGTCCAAGCATAAACGGCGCCCAAAGGCAGAGGCGAGGCAGAGGCGAGTTTGGGTGATGAAATTGGCGCAACGAGGAATGACGTCGGTGGGCGTGAAAGGATCCGAAAAGGGGTGCAGGGGCGGGCTGCGCCTAGGTACTAGCTTTCGCCCCAGCCCAGGCCCCAGCCGCATACCAGTACTCCTCCGTACCTGTCACTCCTCGCATGCTTACCTCCGAACCCCGCCTCAAGGACCGCTGTACGAGTACCCAGAACACGCTTTCCGAGGGTGCGGATACCTAAGAAGGAGGGAAAAGAGTCTTCTGGGGAAACAAAGCAGGGTTTGACAAGGGAAAGGGAAAGGGAATGGAGGCGAGAGACCCTGTGCTCTCCTCTCACTGACTCGCAACAGGGATCGATGATGGAACAAAAGGTCTGGAACTCAAAGGAACATTGCTTTTGACTTGCACTACCGTTGGCAGTGCGCGGTTATTGGACGAGAGTTTTGGGATCAACGTTTGTGGACAGGGGGGTTCTGGGGGCGTGTGAGACCCTTGTTTTGGAGGGGGAAAAGAAGGAATGGTGATTGGAAATCAATCATGGACAAAAACCTGCACACCTACATGGCTGCTAGGTACATGGTGGTAGTTGTTCGTATGTAGATGATAGGTGCCTTGTAGAAATAAATTAAACAGCCTCTTACAAGATCCCTCCCTATCAAGTCTACTACTTACTAGGTACCTCGTACGTCCTGGCGGTAACTCGTCCCTTCGCTTATCTTTCTGCCCTCTTAATTCTCTCTCCCTGACCGTATATTTGGGACTCAGGGTCTCACCAAGTGGCATGATCCACAAAGAGTTAATGACCCCTCTTCCCATCTCTCAACCAACTATGTGCTCCTCCAACTTCAAAAGCTGACTTTAGGCGACGCTAGAATGCGGGACCTCGAGTCGACACTATCCAGGTACGGAGTGCCTCATGCAGACCTGATGAGTCGGCATATTCTAATACTCAGCACGTAAACGATAACGAAAACAAGCCTGTATCTGGCGTGCTTCTCAGGCGCATATCCCCGCCCGCTCGGTAGATGGCCGGGTGTGTAAGAACAGAGAACAAGACCTAACAAGTATTATCGAGCTATCAATTGCCCAAAGTTCACATGTCATTCTGCGGCCCATAAAATCCTCAAGGACCCCGCAAGTACACATATTGACAGTCCGCTTTTCCAACCTGACCGCTGTCCTTTTGGATTGAGAGTCATCAGCTCGACCCGTTTCGCTCGTCAGCCACTGCAATGCTTTCGCTGTCGGCTCCTGCCGAATGCGATATGATGCCCTTCGCAAACAAAAAGTAAATCTATGCCGTCATCTCCCTCCCCGTCTGTCCACGGCCCGTGCGTCTCCAAAGTGGCCAGAATCTTGTCGCCCGCCTCGGCTTGCGTCTAAGCGAGCCCTCCCTCAAGTGTCGAGTGCCGCCGTGGTATTGGTTGAACGCATCCCCACTGCCACTTCCCTTCTCCGTGAACCACACGAAGGTCTTTTCTGCGCCTTAGCTTCCACGCATGTCCATCACCCAAACGCGATGCGTTTCGTTTCACCGGAGTTTCATGACACATTCGTACCGTGCGTCTTGCGAGTTTCTCGGGGATGTACTTCCGCACAATGCACTGCCATCTCATGACGCTTCGACCGTGCGCTGGTTGTGTGCTCACCGCCATTTCGGATGCCTCGCCCCGTCCAAGTATCTCTATCACGTATTGCCTCCTTGTCGGCTGCTCCTGAGCGTCATACCTCAGCTGCTAAGACATTGTACTCTTTCGGCTTTGGGACTGTCGAGATCTCGGAGCAATCGTGCTGTGCTTCACAACAATTGTCACGACGTAGGCTCGGGTGAAACGGATAGAGATTCTTGTGCCGCGTCCCCCACAGTTAGAGAGCACCCAAAATAAAAATTAAATTTGAGCACTTGTGTCTCTTCAACGATGCCCCTATCGCAGTCTTCCGTCCGGCTCACCCTTCCAGCGTTCGACGCGTTTCTGGTCCCAGTTATCCAGATCTTTAGCCATGAGCCTATAGTATTCCTCTCGCTCGTTGAGCTCTCCCTTGAGGATCTTGCGTCGTCGCGGATTGTACGTCAGGCCGCCATCGCCCGCCGGCCCGCCCTTCAAGCCTAACTCCATCCGCTCGTGGTCCGAGACCTGTCTGTTCTTGCGGTCGTGTTTCTCGTACCGCAGCGCCGTGGCCGGCGTAAGGAGGAAGGACGCCGCGACGATGAGCCCCATAAACGGCAGCCCGAAGTACAGAAACGGGTTGTGTTCCTGCTTGCGCGTGTACCATGCCGTTATGCGCCCGGGGAGGTCTTTGGCCGCCGCGCCGCTGCGAAACGGCTTCGATTGGAAAACGGGCATAGTGCGTGGACGGTGCACGCAGTGAAGGAGAAGTATGGATGGACGTCGAAATGGGGGTCGTGACTTGTGTGGCTCCGTCGTTCAGACTTTTCTGATTAGTTAGTTACAAGGAAGTCGAGCAAAGCTAGGAGATTGCTATGATGTTGATTATGATAGCGAAGGCAGTCATAGACTCCCGCTGATACGTAGCTTGAATGCAGATGGGAAGACAAACAATCAAGTTTTTCTTGCTTCAAAACTTCCACGGTTCCTTACCCTCAGGAGACTTCGAGGCGCACCCGACTCGCCGACCGCCATGACCTCAACGCCAAGGAGGCTCCAAGATCACTCGCTGCCCTAACAAGCAGTTCACCCTTGAACACCCACAGCCTTGCCTCCGTACAAGTACATATCTCCGTACGTAATAGCGTGTGCTCAGAATAGGTACCTGGTAGAAACCTCATAACTCGTATTGCCGTTTTGCAAGAATACAAGTCAGACTAGCGTACCATTACTCGTATGATATTGCTCTATCGTCGATTGGGACTCGCCCGACCAGCAAGTCTTACAAAACTACGCAATGCACCACTCTTGTTGCCCTCCAAATTTCGCATCCACGGCCAATTCCCACTGGGCGTGGTCCGTGTTTTGTACCATTTTCTCCTTGGCCAATTCAAACGCCGGCGGCTGGTAGCTTTTTGTGGTCCGCATAACAAGAACAAGACACAGATACCTTCCGTACACCACATTGGCCTCTTCGCGACAGTTCGTCAACAGCGCTCCCCGGACCGGTGCAGTTGGGTCCGAAAAGTGATTCTCAAGGACGACTGACAGCCGTGAAGGCGCCCCCGGTTTGGCCATGTCCCAGGACTCCTCGCGCAGAAAAGCAGTCCCCTCAAAGTATGCTTCAAAATGAACTGGAGAATATTCCGTAACGCACCAATAAGTAACGTTGCCATCGTCCTCTGTGAAACAAAACTCCGGCGATAGAGGATTCGCGAGTGGCTGAAATGTGAGCCCCATGAAGGCGACCATCAGCCCGCGTTCGCCGATGCGGACCGGTCTGGAAACTTGTCGCGCGTGATTTGGCTCTTCAATGTCCGAGTCTTGTTGGAGCTCCTGATTTCCTGGGTCAAAGCCATGGACATTGACCACTCTTACGAGCTCCGGCCCGGCGGCGCAGCTCAAAAATGTCCGCGGCGCCCAGTTGTATCCCTCTAGGGTCATCCTAGGTAAACTGGCAAAGATAATTCGCGCTGAAATAATATCCTCGACAACTGATAAGAAGACGGTCCACCGTCTGTCACGAGTGCTTTCCCTAAGCACGTCTTCAACTCCTGCGTCCAACAAGGTCGTGATGCAAATTGCTTCGTCGGAGGCTTTGCTGGTTTCCCTGCATTGTACCTCAGTCAAGATTTGCAAAAACAATTCTGCCTTTGTTTGCCGCGAAATGGGATTAGATCCGATGCTGCCGGGGAGGACGTTCATTGACAGAATAGCCGACGGACAAGCTGCAAACTTTGCCGCAAAGTCCATGTGCCCCGGTCCCCCGTTATGGTCGCCATTTAGAGACCCGGAAATGGGCTCGATCAGATCAGCCGACTCCGCATCGAGTAACTCATCTGAGAGCAGAACAAGCGAGCGCGTCGGCTCGTTTAGGTCATCAAGCATGACAACCTCTTTGTGAGACATCTGTACGAAGACCCTGTCGTTCAAGGTTCCTTCTTGCAGAGTCCACAGTCGTCCACACCAGGGAGACACGCAGACGCGGGCCATGACTTCTTCGAGAGGGCAGTACCGGCTCTGCGCATTCAATTCGGCATCTTTAACCAAGACAGCGGATGCCGCTTCGTAGACATTGCGCATGTCCAGAATAGCTTTCTTTCTCATTTCGAGATTGTTGACGGGGACGCAAAGAGTGTCGATCCAGAAATGAAGTCGCTCTAGACGGGCCGTTTTGTGGATATGCAAGCCTTCGGGAAAGATATCGTCAAAGTACTCTGGGTTCGTGAGTATCATGTATTGTAGCTGCGTCCTAAGCGCCTTCAACTGACAAATCGGGAGGGTATTTGCTCTGGGATTTCCCAATCCGTCAGACCAGCTTGAAGCCGTCAGCCTTTGCATGTTGAAGTTCTGCGGGATCAACAGACTTACACGTGGGATATCGCGACGTATGGAGTATCTCCGGTATACGCGATGACCCTAAGGTCTAAGGAATCATCCCATTTCCCGTTCTGAGTGGTAGTTGGACACCGGACCGAGATGATCGGAATCTTCCCATCCTTTATTATGGCAACAAGTTTATCGCTCGGCGGGCCCATGTGGCCACCACATCTGCAATTCATACGTTTCGTAATCATCTTCGGGACTTGGAAGTGCATAAAAGATGGCTCTACGGGACAATGCGCCGTGACATATATGTCTTCTAGGACATCATTGGCTGCGCACCGTCTTGCTGAGCAACGGGAATGGTCTTTCTTCACCGTCGGCGGACCCAGCATCTTGAAGTAATACATGGTCAAGACATTGTTATGGCGCCTCCACAATTTGGTTACTTGCCCCGCACACCAGCCTTCGCTCACCATCAGCGACGAGAGCCACGGGCAGGTAGGGACCACCAGTCTACTTGGAGGGTCATATATGACCATGTGAAAGTACTGGATCGTGGCCAGTAAAACGACAACTGAGAGTTCGGCCTCTCCGGGTAGACAGTTGCGCAGATATGTCGCTTCTTCAACATTGTCGCCGGCGGATCGTAGTTTGCGATTGAACGCCTCTAACACTCCCGAGGCAAATGTGAAGTTGTACCTGATGTCTTGTTCGTGCTCCGACTTTGTAGACGATGGGCCATACTTTTCTTTGTCGTACCATTGTTGCAACTTCTTGCCCAACGTTCTCGTGGTAACGAAGGCTCTGTACTTCTTCTTCCCCTGTTGCATTTGTTAGAGACTGTGCGTGTGTCATTGTGACATGACAAACTTCAATGCATTGGACTTACGAGCCCCGACGTCCGTCGTATGAAATCGTGCCTGTTGAAAGAGATACCGCAAATCTGGAATACGGAACTGATTAATCCAAAGTAGAGCCATTCCTGAAGGAAGGCAGCTGTTTGCGCAGCGTTCTTGCCCTCGAAATTGGCGTCCTGGAGACTCTGCGTACTCCAGCCATGCCGCGAAGGGAAATCGAGAAATCCCTTGGAATCATACTCGTAATTAACTTTCAATTTCTGGCTTCCGCCCAACCAAGGCACATGGATGGGTCGGAAAGGGTGCTCCGGCGTGGGTATGTGGTCCATTCCCTCGATGCAAGGGCTGGGGCAATCTTTCGCAGCGCCCTCACCGCGTACGCGGTGGACAAGTTTTTTAAGCCATCTGGTAATGAGGTATTAGGGACGAGGTAACTGTCGATCAGACCACCGACCTCTCCACGCTTGCCGCCGATTCGCGCTTGGCGTAAAGCCCCAGATCTTTCCTCGGAAGCTAATACTCCGCAATGGGCCTTGGAAAAGTTCGAGCTTTCATAATAATTCTGTGCCAAGTGGAAATTACCTAATCCGGTAATTCGCACTTGGTGTCGCGTGAATATTATCCCCTCCTGAAGAATGTGACGAAAAGGCCAAAATCAAAAACATCGGTGGGAAGTGCTACAGGCCCCGGAGACAGAGAAAAAAATTGAAAAGTCAATTTCACGTGAACTCAACCGCGAAAAGCCGACGTTCTCCGGTGCGGGCAAATACCTGCTCTCGCGTGAGGGTATGGTGAGATTTGCTGCCACCGACTTGCTCTGCCGACGACAGTGAGAACAACTCCTCGGACTTGCGAGAGAGCCTGCAAGAAGGTGGACGGTGACGTCGTTCCCCGAGTGGGACTCACGGATGGCCAGATCCGATCGTCTGCGAGAGACGTCCGAGCTGTTGCGAAGTTTGTGCGAAGCTGACTAGGGCCCAGGGAGCAGATGCGCAGAGCATGTGAGCGTGAGACTCGGGCGTGGTAGGTCAGCTCCGGTTCTCGACCGGTACCAAGAGCCAACAAGAGCCAAGAGCCTCACTAGCCTAAGAGCCTAGGGCTTCGCAAGCCCTTTCGCCCGTGCCTCGAACATAATTGGGGAACGCAAGACGCAGGAAGTAGAGGGAGTGCGCAAAAGTCTAGGCATGGCACGTCAACTTACACCAAAGTGACCACTTACATCACAACTTTTCTCAGTAACTTGGGTGTCAACTGCTAAATGAAATTCTTGTATTCTGTAAGTATTTACATATTCTTCTAATGCCTAGTGGAATCTTTTTGAAAATCTACACCGTAATCGGGATATTTGGTGATAAAGTCGAGAGACTTAGTCGCGCCATATAAACTCAAAGCTCTTATACGAGCGCGTAAAGTTGGTTTGATTTATATCCAAATAGCACAACAATAACATAAGATATCGAGAAAGTTGTTGAGAAGACCCGAAGTCATTTACAAGGTGTTCATAAGTGACACATATACCCTGTTTATTACCTAGGAAAAGCTAGTAGAATACCTGTAAAATATCAGGTTTTGGTAAAAACGCGGATATGCCTACTGGTAGGTTTTTGCGCACTTAGTGCAGATCGCTGGCCCTGCTGGAGCTGCTGCGCAGCTGCTAACGGAGATGTCCAGCCGAACAACAATGTCGAGACCCAGTTTTGTAAGGTGTTGGTCCTTCGCACCCCTCGGGCCATCTTTGGTGGACTGATTGGTGGTCTGCTGCGACAAACTTCCGACCCATGTGCCCTACACATTGGCCCTTAGAAACCATCTTCCTCGCAGAGCCTATCCAATCGTGTTCGCTAGGTCCCTTGACAAGGGGGCCCCCGGGGTCCTCAGGGCCCAGAACCTGTGCGATCAGAGATGGTCGGCATGTACACTGACACGGTCAAAACCTTTATCAAGAGCATCAGACTCGCTCTGGAAGAAAATGCCGGTGCTTCAGTGTTCCCTTATCAAAAACAGCTGTACCTCGTTCTGTTGACCAAAGTCCAGCACCAGCAACCCCCAACCCATCATGGCATACTATCAAGAGCCCTTTTTCCTTGACCAGGGGTCACAGCAATTTCAGGATGGAACGTACTTTACCAACTTCCAGTCTGACGGGGACGACCACGACTTAGTCGCAAAGGACCTCAACACATGGTCTCTGCCTCTAGAGACTCAACAGATGCAACCGAGCAGAAGCTACGACATGCAGCCGTATCTGAATGCTCCCTATCTCAGCCCATGCCTGGAACCATTTGAGCCTGCTGGTCCGGCGGTGCAGACTGTCGGGCCAGCTCAACTGCAGTTGGATAACTCTGAGTTCGCCATGGACTACCAATCCCCCGAAGCAGACTTCTGTGCCCTCGGTGCCAAGGATGATGGCAGTGACATCTCACCCCTGTCGTCACCCAGCCTGGCAGACACCGAGACGTACAGCTCCAAGAAGTGCCTTTCCCGCAATCGCACTACCCCGCGTATTTCAGGATCGTCTCAGCCAAAAAAGGGAAGACCCCGGAAGAAGCGCAACCAGTCTAACTCGTCAAGTGAGGATGAATCAGCCATTCTCAAAGCAAAGTTCGCCCATTCCGTGATTGAGAGGCGTTACCGTGACAATCTCAACGGCAAAATGATGCAGCTCCATCGCGTGCTTCTGGCCGCTGAGACCAGTCCAACTTCGCCCGCCTCTCAATTCAATACCTCACCTACAAGCCCAACGCTCTCAGGCAGGGTCCGCAAGTCCGACATCATGTCTAGGGCGATCAACTACATCCACCAGTCGGAAGTTGAGATTCGGCACCTGGATGATGAGATCAAGCGCTTGCAGGACCAAGTCGGTATCTTCCAAAAGCTCGTCAACTACGACGACTGCTCCTCGCTTCTCAAGGATATGGTGCAACTCGACGTCCAAAAGCAATGACATTGTGCTCTAATTAAGTTCTTTGTCGTGAGAATGTGTTCTGCCTCCGCCTCATCATCAATCAACCTTCTCCTCGATCTCCTCTTTTTTTCTTCAGTCGTCACTCTGCGCGACTGAGTTTGTGTGTGTCTATGTGTCTGTGTAACGACCTTTGGCATGGGAGGAAAAAAAATTCTGATCTTCAATGTACTGGCCGGGGTATATTGAGGCAAAGTCGTCCTGTACCCCCCCGGCAAACAAAACCACTTTGTCCGGGGTTTTCGACTTTTTCGGCTCTGGCAGTGTCTGCAGTACGTAATTTTTCTTGCTTCTTTCATCATGTTTGGGAGGAAGGTTTTGGGCTTTTGAGCCTTATCTGGTATACGTGCAGGCCAGACAAACAGGCATGGCAGGCAGGGAGGATTGAATTATGATGCACACGACGATGATGATGAAATCATTGATGATGCATCTGGGTGACCTGGTGGTCAAGGCGGGCGCATTGGAAAAGGGCCAGCGCCAGGACCCTTCGAAAATTTTGCAGAAAATTTTCCAGATACTGAGAAGAATCAAATATGTATGTAATAATGAAGAAAATCCTTCTTCGGTAACTTTACAATGTCTTGGGGAGGGACGATGATGACGCTGGTGATCCAACGACATTAGGAGACCTGGGACCTTGTGGCGGGGTGGTTCACGCGAAGCAGTGTCATATCCGCGAGCAGCACCAAGTCGCGTCGCGTCGCGTCAAGGGTTTTGGGGAAGCCTTCGCATCTTGAATGGCTTTGAGTCAGCCCCTATTTCTCACCTGGGGACTGGGTATAAAACACGGAGTACTACTAGCTTTCTTGTGTTGACGAATGTGTCGCCCAAATAGGAGGTCGGTATTCTGAGTTGAGTACGATAAAATTTCATGTGACCCCGCGTCTCAGTGATTGAAGAAGAGGCTGAAGTGTTTTCTCTCCTTGTCTTCGTGAGACGGTACAGGCTCCTAATTTACATCCCTAGGTACATGTACCTTTTTTCTTTTTTGCAAGACCTGGCGAGGGGATCCCTGGTCGCGTCTCTGACATCCTCAGAAGGACTCGAATACACGTCGGCCACGGCTCGACTTGTTGTCGGATAAGACTGTGGCACTTGCACTTGACGCAGTCTGATTTCTTTTCCCCCATCCTTCTCTTTCCCATCCCTCGAGGCCCTCCCATTTCCCAACGAGTATTCCGTCATTGATCAGGGCTGCGCCTGGTTACCGAGCCTGGGCATATCTGCCCCCTTCAGGTAGACCGTGGCAGCACACACGTACAACAGTACTTCAAGGCCCATTGGCTCAGTGGTGGCCTGGGTCAAGGCAATGAAGTGTCGTGAGAACCTGGCTTCTACCAGTCGTTGTAAGTGATAGGACTGACTGGCAACTCAGTTCATGCGCAACTCGACGGTGCCATGCTTTGAAGGATTTACCCGCTCTGCGGGATCGGCGGGCGGTCACGAAGCGTCGACGACGGTAATACCATCGATTACCGCGGGTGAAGGAGTGCCAGGCCGTGCCAGCGGGGGAAAATATCGCGACCAGCCATCGAAATCAGGAGGCAGCTCCGTCTCGCGGTCTTTGAGCCTCCAGATAGGGTCCATATCCACATCACCCTTTTTCTCTTCTAGGGCGATATGATTAGCAATGTCCCCACTGTCGGCATCATTTTCCTCGTCGAAGCTCGACACACTGCCAAACTCTGTTTCTTCGTCGCTGCTCCAGTCCATATCATCCTCTCCTCGACTGGAGACCTCTTCGTCGTCGGAGAAAGGATTTCTTTCGCCTTCGGCGTCAACTTCAACCTCAGTGACGAGCACTGAGCTTGTGATCCTCGATGACTCTTCTGGTTGTTGACAGGGTTCAGCTGAATCGTGCGTCAAAAGCTCCGAGAATTCATCTAGGACGTCGGTTTGATCCTCTTTGCCGAATATGGTATCCTCCACCTGGCCATGGTCAACATCTTGCGGGGGAGCCCAAATAGTGAGGTTGCTCACGTCATGTTCTTCCATATACTGGGCCGCTTTCTGATACACGGAAAGGTGGCCAATCATCTTGGTAAGCTTTGGCTCCATGTGCTCCGACTCCTGTTGGAGCTTCCACTGGGCCAGCCAGAGGAGCTTGAAGGCCGTCTCGTCCATGACTAGGGCCATCTCTGCAAGATGTGAATGATATTGATAGCAAGGATAGGTGCTGGTTGCTCTTGTCTTTGATCTCGCCGGGGAGATACCGCTTTAATACAGGTAAAATGGTTTGAAGTAGTTTGTAGTCCTTGAATTGGATTTTTTGACTCCCTGGTCGCAACTATCCGAGGAGAGACCGGTGTCATTGAAGTATTTCGTGTGCTCCGGAATCCTCAATTGTAAGTGGTTGGAAGCTGT